GAGTTGGCTACTTAAACTCGCGATAAATCCTGCTCCGACTTGGCGAGTAAGCATGCCTACTCGTCGAGTCCTTTTCCTTAATTTACAATTGAAGCCCTTCAACAACACCTCTGGAATTTGGGGTGTTATAGCATGCAAGCTCCATTTTCGACATTCTTTATTATATGCACACGCATGTGGGATTATACTCTACAACTTTCGTTTAGACTCCATTTGCTAATTTTGACATTATTTTTAATATTATTATTTTTAATAGATCGGGACAGGAAAATCGGTCAAAAATTCATAGCTTATTCAGTCAACGTCTGTTTTTGTCTCTCTTTTTACTGTTGTACTACTATTGACGAGTCCTTCAATTCTCGTTTAGGTTGTGTCGGATAAAAATCACTTGATCTTTATTTCAAGTTTTTAGTTGTACACTGCTATACCGAATCTTAGAAAAATCATAACTTCCTCATACAAAGTCAGGTTTGACGTTCTTTTTATGAAAGTTCTCAGTTTAACGAATACTACGACTTTCATTTAGATCACAAAGCTAAAAAGTAGTTTACTAAAAACTCAATTTTTATGCTAAATAGTGTTTTGCCGGTTTTGTCGCGGTTCTTCGATTGGTCATAACTTCTTCGTTATAACTTGGATTTCGATGAGGTTTTTGCCTAAATGCTTCTAATGAGATAATCTACAACTTTCAATAACATTATTTTTATTTATTTCAAACTTTATATTTTCGTTAATTTCAATAGTTGACTTTTGATCGAAATTTCATAAGACTTCCAATACATTTCGAGTGATTCTAAACATAGTTTTACTTCAAATATCGTAAAAACTATAATGTTAGAACTCAATGCTCAATAACATATAATATTATTCATTTTAAGCTAATAAGATTTATAAAACATGATAATCGAACACGGTTATTAACGTGTATGTTACATTTCTATTGAATAGTTGTCAAGAAGTCAAACAATACATCGAGTAAATGTTCTTATTTTTAATTATATTTCATTATTTATTGTTACTTTTTTCCATTCATCAATTATATATATATATATATGTCATCAATAGAAAATTCAAATATGAACATTCTGAAAGTGATGAAAAGACTGAATTTGCCAATTGGTTTCTTGAATAGGTAATAATAATTAATAAACAAATATGTTTGATAAATATATCAAATCGAGAATACATAACACATCAACCTATGTTTAATAGGTTTTATTTCAGATGGAAAAAGAAAACTCTCCAAAATTCCACAAAGAGTTGTCACCCACCGTGTGCATAGTCAATGGTGTCATATTTATGGTATTTAGTCATGATGCACAACACAAAACTCAAAACTCTGGGGTTCTAGTGGTTGGTGAGAATGGGGAGAAATATTATGGCCAATTAGAAGAGATTATGGAAGTGAAATATCCATATGATTTTTCGACTATAATATTTTGGTGCAAGTGGTTTGATACGGGAGATATTCCTGATGATAATTTCATCAATATCAACGCAGAAAAAGAAGCGTACCAAGATGATCAACTCATATATGCTTCGTAAGCTAAACATGTGTTCTACATCCGCGAGCCTGTTAATCATCGAAGAAACCAAAACAACAACCCTCATTGTGTCATCGAGCATGTTAATCATCGAAGTATTTGGGATCTACCATCCGAAAATGCTCATGTCCAAAATGCTTACAGTGACTCTATCCAAGATGTCGACAATGTGGTGGCCGATAATGTTGACATAATTCAAAATAACTCTTCATCTGGGGCTAAACTATTTTTAATGACTTCTCACAATACTTTTAAAACAAGGTTGATGTAGCTTAAAACAACGTTGATTATGATGATGAGGACCAGATTGAAGTACCTCTGCCAACGGGTAGAATCGCTAATGTTTCTGAGGAAGAGACCGATTATGATGATGACGATTCTGATTATGATATTGATGACGAAGACATTGAAGTATACGACGGAGATTCTGATTAAAAAAATCAAATGATTTTTTTTGGGGTAATAGAAACTTTATTTGAAGTGTACCTTTTATTCATATTGTTTATCTAACTCTTATTCATGTTGTTTGTCTAACTTTTATTCATGTTTGTCTAATTTTTATTCATATTGTGTTTCTATATCGTATATCTTGTAATTTTACAGGCTACATATGATGCTTAGTTGGCTGATACTCTTTACCATGATGTCCGATGTTATGGGCTTGGACACGGAGGTGATGGAGCTGGGGATCCACCACCTCCGGTAGGATTTGGTTGCGGTCATCATGAACATGATGGTAAGTCTTATTATGATATATTTATTAACTACTTTTTTAATTTATTATAAATTATCGTGACTAACATTTTAATTGTTTTTTTTTTTCGCTGAGCTTCTAAAGAAAAGAAGGTGTTTATCTAAAAACATCAAGCTAGGAAAGTTGATATGGGCAAACAAGGGAAGGCCCCTGGATTTGGATTTTGATAGGAGATCACATATTCCCCTGTTGGGAAGCGTGCTAATTGGTTTTCACATGAGATTGGGAGCTATACATGGATGAACATACCTTTCAAAGTATCTGGTTGGGACAATGTTTCCTCCGCATTAAGGAATGCAACAGTCGTTCATCTAAAGGTAACTTTGTTAATATTTAAGCTTAGTTACGATTGGTATTTAATTAACTAACTTTTTTATATTTGTAGAATAATTTTGATTTGGATAAGCTTAACTTTGATCCCAAGCATGCTTAGTTGTTGTAGAGCATTGATGTGAGTTTTGCAAAAATTTATAGAGGGCAGAAAAGTAAAGCCGATACTTATTTTACAGATATCGAGGGGCCTGCAGGTATCCCAATGGCATTAAACAACCCCCCTGATGGTATGTCACATGAAAATTCGGCAAAGGCAGTCGAACATTTTCAAACACTTGAATTTTTAAGGCGTTCGACGTCAACCAAAGAAGTCCGTGCAAAACAACAAGTTGTAAATAGGGGGGTTCGACCTCTTATAGCAATGCCTGTTTCAAAGAAGTAGGTTATGATATATTCAATTGTTCATTTAAAAGTATAATTAATCTAATATTTAATGTTAAATAGGAGAACACTCGAGTTGAAGCATTTCGTAAGGCTAATACCAATCGTCAAGGGGTATTTAGTAGTCCTGCAGTCGAGCAACAATACGTAAGTGGTTAATTTGTATTTTTCATATAAGTGTTTATATAGTCAACGGGTATTTAGTAATCTAATTTTTATGTTGTTTATCTTTTTTTTGAAAATAAAGTTGACTTTAGTCCAAGAGATTAATCAACAAACCCAATCTTCTTCTGAATCAAGATGTCTAACACTAGGTGAAATAAAAAATTGTTTTGAAAAAATATTGGGTATTCGATGCAGACATATCAGAGGCATTGGACGTAAACCTCCTACGGTTATGTCTATGTACAATCAGGAACAACCGATGACACAACAACCACCACAATCACATGCAATTGTTAGTTTAAGTTGAAAAGTATAATGCTATAATGATATGTTGGTAATTGTTTGTTTATATATAGTACAATGCTACAATGGAAAGTAGAATGCTATAAAGATATGTTGGTTATGATTTGATATGTTGATATTTTGTATTTTGGTAATTTTTAGAAAGTACAATGCTATAAATGAAAAATGAAAAAAAAGTATACTGTTATAATGAATATGGAATATTGTGTATCATGTAGTTTGGTAACTTTTTGGAAAGTACAATGCTATAATGGAGAAAAGTACAATGCTATAATGTATATGCAATATTATGTATCGTGTATTTTGGTTATAGTTTGATATTTTGTAGATTGGTAATTTTTTGGAAAGTATGATGCTATAATGTATATATTGTGCATGATGTATGTTTAAATGTATTTGGAGTAGAATGCTATAATGATATATTGGTATTTTTTATTTTGGTAATTTTGGAAACTACAATGCTATTATGATATGTTGGTAATCTAATTCGTTTTTGTTTTTGTTTTTGGTTTTTTTTTTTTTTTTGGTTTTTTTTTGGTTTTTTTTTGGTTTTTTTTTTGTAGTTGGAAATGTTGCAAACAATACTAAAGGACCCGGCCTGTTTACGGCACCGGAAGACTGGTTTCGCTTATTGTTGCCACGAAATGATAACGAAGGAAATGATGAGAGTGATGAGGACAAGTAGCTACTTTGTTAGGATTTTACGAAATGTTTTGTTTAAGTTAATATTTTGGATATATTGTTCGATGAATATTTAGTTTGGGTGAACATTTGGACCGTTTGTGTATGGACTAATATTTTAACAAAATTAAGTTTTGTAGTAGTTTGTATGTATGTTATAGCAGTTTTTATAATGTCACATTAAAATAACCTAAAATGTTTTAGCGGCGACACTGACGTACTAGTGGCGACAGTGCATTAGCGGCGGCACGTAATATTAGCGGCGACATATAGTATTTGTGGCGACAAAAGGATTAACTGCGATGAAGTAACAACAACGACCCTTTAGTGGCGACAAGTGGCTGCAAATAGCTTTAGCGGCGACACATGTCGCCATTAATACTCATATTTCTTGTAGTGATGAAAATGAAAGAATAGAAAAAAACTGATATGACATCTAAATGAAACAGCAAGTTGAGAGAGACGAGAGGGATTTAGTCCATGCGCCCTAATGGGTTAATTGCTAAATTTCAAAAAATCACTGAATTAATTATGGAAAAATGATGCAAGAACACTTTTCTTTTTTCATATGTTTGGTACTATCACGTCATCTAAAGTTCGGCAAGTCATTTGAATTGAAAAGGTTCTTATTGAATAATATCCCTACATTTTAATGTCAAAAGTGAATTGTGTATTCAGTCCACAATATTAATACAATGGTAAAAAAGACAACAAATGAATGGCTTAAAATTTGATTAGGATCTTAGTTGTTGGTAAATTGACTTGTAACCAACATAACACTTATATATATGATACATGTGTCGTATTTGTTACCTGAACCTCGAGTGCATAGATGATCCATGGCTCACTATTACTTTTTCCTTTGTATCCTCTTCACCTTCTCATTATCTTTTTATGGAATATCTGCCGCGAACCACCAAGTAACTAACTTCGCTGAGAAAACACCTGGTGGAATCCGTTTCACCAAAGAAATCGGAATTCCCTTCACAAAGACACTAATGGGTACCATTAACAACTACATATGGACCACCATCTTGCAACAAAGCGATCCTGCTGACCGAAAGCCTGTGCCGACTGTGAACATTTATATCGTAGACTTCAAAGGAGCCGAAGCAATCACTTGGGGTGATAATATTAATGTTAGTGCTGTTTATCTATTAGGGTATCAAGGGAACCTGAAATGGGAATTCACGTCCCTTTTGTACCATGAAATGACTCATGTTTTTCAATGGAATGGCGAGGGTAAAGCTCCTACAGGCTTGGTAGAAGGGGTGGCAGACTACACGATTTTAAAAGCAAAATATTTCCCACCGGCTTTTGCAAAACCAGGAACTGGTAATAAATGGGATCAGGGGTATGATTTCACAGCTCGTTTTCTCGAGTATTGTGATGGGATTACCCCAGGGTTTGTTGCAAAACTAAACAAAAAGATGAGGAAAACTTTTGACGTCAAGTTTTTTCAAGAGTTGACAGGAAAGCCCTTGGATACATTATGGAAGAACTACAAGGCTAAATATGGGAATATAAAACATGGTGATGAAATAACTGAATTTGTTAATTGAAAATATATTAAAACTGCGTTCTTTACGAATAGTAATTATAAGAGGTCGCAAGATAACAAAAAAAAATGTTATGTTGGTTTTTTATTAGACAAGAAACGTAGGTGTTCCTTGAAAGATCTATTTTTATGTGAATACTAGAAGAAATAACAAAAACCTTCACTCGCAACATGATGTGTCGAAATATAAATAATGTATAGATCGTTGAATGATGAATAATGATGTAATAGATCTTTAGTTAGGAGATAACTAGTTGATGCTTATCAGAAATGCAAATTTAGCTAGTGTTCTTCTATCATAACTTTATTTTTAGCCAGGAAAATTAACTCAACCAATCCCGAGCAAATTGTAACATTATAGGCTGGCAATATATATAAAGCTTGAAGGTTGGGAAAATCCTACGCTTGATGGGTCTAATTAATCTTCAACACTTATACAAAATTTATATAGAGAAGTTAGTTTATAAGATTTAGATGGTATAACTATAACCTTACATTACTTGCAAGAAATTACAGCTTCATGACAAGGAACTACCTGCCTAGACAAAACACAAGCTAAAGTTTTTGGAACCGAAGTTTGTTTCTAACATAAAACCTTTTCTTACATAAAACACTGAATATAAAATTGGTTACATGTCTCTGTTCTATATCCTTTACCTACTATTATTTAAACTCTAACATAATATGTTTGTTTTTACGCAAAAAATATTTGTAACAAGTAACATATTTACATTGAGTAGTGATGATGACGTAACTATCTTTTTAAATTGCCTCCTACTTTTTATCCCTATAAATATTACTATAGACTAATATTATAACACATTATATAATTCCATATTTACTTAACTATCTCATTAAGACTATATTAAGAATATATTATATAAAATTAAAGTGAATTATGAAATGATGCCAAGTGTCATAATGTTAGTGGGTAGAAATAGTTGTAGTAGTTTAACTGTCATTTTATGCTTTTAATTAACATTTGTAGTAGTTTAACTTTTTTAATGAAATGTTATTTTTGTTTTTGGTGTTATTTATTTATTTTTAGTAAATGTTTATTTAAAAAACTTAATTGTAGGGGTTGAAACGGTTGAAAAAGACAAATTTTCTGTAACACCGTAAATTTAAAAAAAAAATTCAATTTTTATAAAACATAATTCCATCAATATTCATCCAACAACCATATTAATTATCCAAAGTAGGTCAATACAAAATCCCAAGATCACAATGTAGAAACTCCGAGTGTGTGTGTGTACGGATCAAGCCGGCACCTTCCCACGATCGTCACTAGTACCTGAAACAATAACATCAAACACTGTAAGCGCAAGGCTTAGTGAGTTCCCCAAAATACCACATATAACACATATTAGCCACTCTAGGCTATAACTCTGTGGGTCCGTGCACCCAAACTCCGTGAACCCTCAGGTTCTAGCTCTGATAAACACGCACTACATAAATCACATAGACATAATGCAGTACAACACATAACATGCATAGCATACAATACTCTATCACATAACTCAGATTACCTACTCAAGGTAATATAGTATAGTGAGAAGACTCACCTCGCGTATCTCGGTATCTCACGAATCCTGGAAATCCCTCGTGCTCGATCCTCCGAGCTCTAATCCTCCTATAACATTATATGCTTCTAATTAACACTTTATATCTCTAAGGTTGACTATCTATAAGGAGTCAACACAGGTCAACTCTGACCGGACTCGGCGAGTCTAGACGTTTTTATCAACCCTCTGAAATCCTCTTACTACACGTCGAGTATCCCCCCCTTTACTCGATGAGTTTCACCTGAATGAATCGCGGGGCCACCCCGACTCAACTCGCCGAGTCTCAAGGACAACTCGGCGAGTCCAGGTTTGACTCCGTCCACTCGTCATCCCTCTCCAACTCACCCTGACTCATTGAGTCTACCCATGACTCGATTGGACCACTCGCTGAGCAGTCCCAAGGCAATCTTCAAGCTACTCGCTGAGTCGGATGAACAGACTCAGCGAGTCCATGCCATGCAACCACTCCAACTCGCTTCTAAGGTCAGATTTGCTTCCAAAAACTATAGATCTGGCCTCCTTTGACTGATTCATCATGTAAAGCTCCTATCTTGGTGCTCATAACACACCCTATAACTCAATAATGGCGTTTTTGACCCAAGGCATGAGGATTCCAATCCAAAGCCTCCATTGATCCCCAAAAGCTTTGGGTAAAGGGACACTCTGGACCTCTAAGGGTCCAGATCTATGGTTCCAACCTCATAAGGGACCAAAAGAATACCAAATCTTGCCATAAAAGGGTTCAACAAACCCTAAATCTAGATAAGCAACAACAACAAGAAGGTAACTCGGATTTATTACCACAAAAGTGATGCTCTGGACTCCAAACCCACAGAAGTTGCTCCTTCTTGCTTTCCCTTGGCTAGTTCTTCTCCTTTCCTTGCAAAAATGGCACCTCCAAGGTCAATAATGGCCTCCTACTTAGCTCCAATGCTCACACTCGATTAGGGTTTCACTCAAGGGGCTGGTGGGCACAAATGACGGCCATTAGGCCCTTTAAATAAGTCTCAAACCCGAGAAATTAGGGTTTCATTACTCAGCGCAGACTCGCTGAGTCCATATCCTGGACTCGCCGAGTCCAGGCGTGATCCTGCGTCCAAATCCGCATCCCTACTCGGCGAGTCTGAGCTCCAACTCGCCGAGTCCCCCTCACAAATCAACAAAATGCAATAAACAAGATACCTGATAAAATCCGGCTGTTACAACTCTCCCCCACTTGGACTAGACTTCGCCCTCGAAGTCTCGCTCTAAAAACAGCTCCGGGTGCTGCTCCTGCATCATACGCTCTGGCTCCCAGGTCATCTCTGATCCCCTCCGATGTTGCCACTGAACCAACACCAGAGGTACCTCCTTGTTTCTCAAAACCTTGATCTTCCGATCCCTGATGGCCACTGGTCTGTCGGCATAATTCAGGCTTGCATCTACCTGAATATCCTCTAACGGAACCACTGCCGATTCATCGGCTATACACTTCCTCAACTGCGATACATGAAAAGTATTGTGAATCTGTCCCAACTCTGCTGGCAACTCCAACCGATAAGCTACCCGGCCTACCCTTGCAATCACACGAAATGGACCTATAAACCGGGGCCCCAACTTGCCCCTCTTCCTGAACCGGATCACCCCTTTCCAAGGAGAAACCTTCAGGAGAACGAAGTCGCCTACCTGAAATTCAAGCTCGGACCGGCGTCTGTCCGCATAAGTCTTTTGTCGGCTCTGGGCGGTCAATAACCTCTGCCTGACCTGCTGTATTTGCTCTGTCGTCTGAATCACGATCTCTGTACTGCCCATTACCCTCTGCCCAACCTCTCCCCAACAAATGGGAGTCCGACACCTCCTACCATACAACAGCTCAAAGGGCGGCATACCGATGCTCGAATGATGGCTGTTATTGTAGGAAAACTCTGCCAAGGGTAAATACGTATCCCAGCTACCCCCAAAATCCAATACACATGCTCGAAGCATGTCCTCAAGCGTCTGAATCGTCCGTTCACTCTGGCCGTCTGTCTGGGGGTGGTACGCGGTACTAAAATGCAGCTTAGTACCCAACTCCTCATGAAATTTCTGATGGGTTTTGAGCATTCTAACACTTCCTAAGTGTACATGCAACCCTAATAACCTTGGATCTATGTTTGTCTAATTATCATGCTAAGTTGAATTCCAAGGTTATATTCCTATCTAGCATACATGGGGAACACTTTTTCCTTAAAGTATAGATAGAATAACTTACCTTGTTGTTGTTTGTGTTCCTTGAAACCTTGTGAGCCTAGCACCCCAAGTGTGATGCCTCAAATGCTTCACACAACACCAAATGCTCTTGGAAGAACTTATGAGAGAACACACACTTCTCAAAATCGGCCAAGCCCTCTTGTTTCTAAGTGTCAACCTTAGTGTAGCCGATTTTAGGTGGAGAACATGTTTCTTATATAGTGTTGACACATCTAGGGTTAAACCCTAATGTGTCATGACTCTTCATTTCCATGACCCATGGGTTTGTAACTCCCATGGAGCATCCTATGGGTGGAACCCAACTTGATAGTCCATGGAGCCTTTTAGCCCACTATACAAGATATGGATGATTTACATAATCAACCCATATATTTAATTAGTTATCTTTTGATCACATAATTAATTCTAAATTAATTCTTGATCAAACTAATCAAATAATATTATTAACATATTAGAACTTATAATATATTAATAATCTCCAAGTGTTATTTCTCTCATTTAGTCTATCCAATTGCATGGTGCCATGCAACCCAAATGGACCATGCCGGGTCGGGTCAAGTACATACCAGAAATAGTTATGGACTTAGACACCTTATCCAACAGTCTCCCACTTGGATAAGTCTAATAACTATTACTGCAAGTATGACTTCAGGAACCGATTGGCAATCGTAGCTCTTTACAAGGTTTCTCGAAACTGAGAAGATGATGGTACGCCATTTAAGATAAGTGATTATATAATCCTCTGTTCTAGATATCAGTCGGACAAATACACGGAACAATGTCTTACTTATTGTCCAACAGTTTGTTTCCCGATTTCCGATTTGTTTGACAAAGAACTTCATTGAACACATCAATTTAGTTCTGACCGGGCCCGGTACATAGGTCAAAACAAAATCATCGAGGGGCCCAGATATCAGCTTCTAATCCAAGAAGGAACAGATAAACTTCGACTCATATGTTTGTTCTACTACTCATTGAATTACACACAAGTGCGTGATTTATAACATCGAGTTACCAATGCATTTTTCGTACAATCAATGCATAACCAACTTGTAAGTAACAAATCATATCTCTAGGTTTGAAGACTTATATGATATTACCGTCTCACGATCACTCGAGATAGAATTCCATGAAGTGATTCCAGTGAGCGTGGGTTGAGTCCAATGCTCAGAACTTATGAGCACTCATGATTGTTGTAGCCTTGTCCAAG